ATTTCCACTAACAAGCCAGGGGGAAAGAGCCCTCTGTGCCCACACACATTGGTCCAGCAGGCTTTGTCTTCTGTAGGGTTCCCTCATTTCCCTCTGGGGTCTTGGGTCCCTCGAGGCCCCTCCGAATCAGGGAAAGGCCAAACTCAGCCCCCTAGAAGGAGTAACCATGCAACCTCATTCTTGGCCAGAGAATTATGGAATTGGCAACATCACACCCTTTTTCAACCTTGGTCCATGAGCGTATCAGCCATCTCGCCTACCCTGTGTATCACAGCATGTCTCTCCCTTCTCCAGGGGCTACCAGAGAGACTACAGGAAGGATGTCCATAATGGCACACAGGTGGGCTGCTGGTTCGTCCACAACAACGGCCAAGGGGTGATTGATGGGGTCCACAGCGACTACATTGTCTCTGACCTGTTCTGAGTGGCTGGCCCAGCTGGCCTGGCATCTGGAGCAGGGGCACAGAGCCAGGCCTGAGGGAGGGCTGTGACAATAGAGGCCTCGGTGGAAACCAGACCGCTGCCAGCCTGTGCATACCTCTCTCGGGCCCTGCTCTGGGGAACACCAGCTGGGACCTGAGGCAGCTCAAAGGAAGGACTGCCTCCTGGGAAGGCAAAATCCTGGGCCTACCCAGCAATGTGGCTGAAGGACAGGGCTGGTTGGCATCACAGTTTGGCAAGTCAAGTGTATGATGAAAAAAATAAAATAAAAAATTGACTCTGGAGCAAAGAGTCTCTGAGAAGCTGGGAAGGGCTGAGTGTATTTCAGAGGCCAAAAGGGTCATGAGGAAAGTCTGGTCCCTGTTCAGGAGCTCCTGTTGGGCCCTGCAGGCCTGGAGGGCCTTCTGTGACTCAGAAGCAGAGAGTCCTCCAGGGCTGGCACAGCCTGCAGCAGATTGTAGATGCCCTCCATCCACCCACTCACCACCCTCTGTCCATCCATCCATCCATCCATCCACCAACCACCCGTTAGTTCATCAGATCAACCCAACATTCTGGGCTAGAATCTTGGGGCACACAGCTTTGTGAACCAGCTCCTGTGAGCCTGGGTGCCTCAAATTTACCTTCAGTTGGGCTGGCGGGCCTTGGTATCCTCCAATAATACCCCACAAAGTCCTGAGAGCCTCTCCCACCTGAATAACTGTAACTGCCCCTTCCTGGGTCTCCCTGCTTCCAGAGAGAGCTTTCCACAGCAGAACCAATCATTGCTCCCTGCCTACACCCTGACGATGACATCTCCCACCCATTGCTCTTGGGACAAAGATAAAAGTCCTTCCTATGGCTTCTCAGCTTCATCACCTCCATGAACCAGGCATTGTCCTTTATTTTCTGGGTTCCAGACAAACAGACTGCTCCAATTCTGCAAATATAACCCCTCCTGCCCCAGATTCTGTGCCTCTGCTGTTCT